TGGATTATTATCCAAAGACGGTCAGCAAAGCACAAGATATGTTGAAGATTCACATGGATGTGATCAAGAATCCGGGAGTGAACCTTTACCAAGGAAAAGACCAGCCAAATAAAGGTAAAGGTAAAGGAAAAGGTAAACCGAAGGACGATAAGAAAAAGGCGGCATGTTATGTATGTGGAAAGAGGACCATATGTCTCCAAAATGCCCAGACAGACTGATACCAGAGAGTCAATGGAAGCATCCGAAACATTATGTTGATTACGGGAAGAAGCTCAATCTCAATCAGATTGGAGCAACTGTCCCAACTACAGCTACAGTTCCTGGACCTTCTCCAGCGACAAGTGTGATCAAGGGTGGAACATTGAGTGTTGCGGGAAGTGTTAACACACCTTTGCGACTTGCTGGTACTACAGGTAATCATATGATACAAGTACCTACAGGTAATCAAATGATGCAAGTTCCTTCGGGAATGCAGCTCATGCAGATTCCAACTCAAGGTGGCGGCACTGTTACTGTCCCTTATTCAATGAATGCTAACGGTGAGATTGCGTTCGGTGGAATGCAAGTCAGCCAACAAGGCTTCAGTGGTGCTCAAGTGCGCCAAGGATTCGATGCAACTCAAGCTCGAACTCCGCAAGTTGTGAAGACTGGCTATTTTGATACGTCAAATGTCTTTCACGATGCTATCAAGGGAAAGGATGAGAATGGCAATGATGTATATCTTATTCCATGTCCTGCTGGAACGACTAACGTCGAACTTCAATCCGACTGGCACTACGCTAGTAAAAGTGAAGACTTGCCTGATCTTGCTACTGAAGCAGATCGAGGTATGCAGTTTATTCAAAGCCGCAGAATCGAAAGAGATCTGTTTGGTTTGCTCGATCACGTCATCATGGACAGTGGTTGCACCAACACCACCATTTGTAATGGTGAACTCATGCATGGACTATGTCAAGCTGAGACAGAGCTCAATATGCACACTAACGTGGGCAGCAGAGTTCTTGATGAAGAAGGGTTTCTAGGAAGATTTCCGCCTCCAGTCTATTATGATGAAGACGGAATTGCCAATGTACTTGCTATGCGCGAGATGATTGCTGCGGGATACCGCACTACCATGGATACTGATTTTGACAATGCCTTTGTTGTGCATTGCGATGGAGACAGACAGATGCGCTTTGTGAATCGTAATGTGCTGGAGCAACTTGGAGCGGATGTCAAACCAGGTGCCAAAGAGACAAGTGCGATGTATCGCCAGTTAAGCAACGTAAATAAACAACCCCATTTCGAACTTTCTTCAAAACAGAATGGATATGCTGGACTTGGGATGACTGCGAAGGTGGCAACGGTTCGAAAGAACAAAGAAGGATTCACTCCAAGACAAGTCAAGGCTGCGATGGAAGCGAGAAGTGCGATGCACATACTCAATGCTCCAAGCACCAAAAGTCTGAAATATGCGATCCAATCTGGTCTCATCAAGAACTGTCCTATCACTGAAGAAGCGATCAATCATGCCGAAGCAATCTTTGGACCTGACGCATCTACATTGAAAGGCAAGTCAACAAGACCAACTCCGAAGAAGACACACGACAACTTCTTCAGTCCACCAGAGGAATTGTATCAACATAATCGATCTATTACCGTCTGTATTGATCACATGGAGATCGAGAATGCTAAGTTTCTCACCTGCATTGATACCACTGTGCGTTATCG